CCGCTGAAGAGCGGCCTAGCCGCTGAAAAGCGGCCTCGCCGCTGAAAAGCGGCCTCGCCGCTGAAGAGCGGCCTAGCCGCTGCAGAGCGGCCTGCAACAAGGATTCGTCGTATATCGCAGCGGACCAGCCGCTACGAGTAGTAGCTAGCTTGCTGACAAGGCAGCGGACTCGCCGCTCTTTCTATAGTGGCTGGATAGCGGACTAGCCGCTGTAGAACGAGGCAGCGGCTTGCCCGCTTGTGTTTTTGGGTTCAACTGGCGGAGTAGCCGCCGAAGATTTTGCGGCTAACAAACCAAGCCGAACTCACTCTAGTACAGCAACTAATAATCGATGGGTTGACGAAATCTTACATAATCAGACAGGATCCTTGTCCGGAAAGCAGCGGATATCCGCTCGCGAATTTGTAGCGATTTTATCCGGGGGTTAGATTATTTATTAATCGAATACTACATTCAGAATCAGTCGTAAGTTGCAGGGGGCAGAGTTGCGAGTGAGTCTTGCAAAGTCTTCGTGAGTTGCAATCGTCGTAGGGATATGTGAAAGGCTTTGCTTGCTCGAGCAGTATTTAGCTGGTTTCCTTCCGTGTGGGTGTATCTACGGTCGGCCCATCATGCTGAGAAAGCAGCCCACCAGGACTGGAGTTCCAAAGTTGCCCGTGCTAGTTTCGAGCCGTTGCTAGTGCCGAACAACGAAACATTGCAAGCCAATTTAACTTAATCTCAGAAGCCCTTTCAGGACTCTATCTTCTCGTTCCATGGAGGCCGTGCCAGAGCAGGAGGGTGCCGCGGGTTTCCTACTTTCCTCTGCACATGCTCGCCTGGCCAGAGCACTTGTGAGCTCAGGCAGGTTCACACTATGGAGGCAAAATATACAGGGATTATAAATCTAGTCCAAACACACCCCACGAATTTTCTCACCTGGCCACAGGGGACGCCGACGGGCCGGAGAAGACGAAGAAGAAGTCCAAGGAGAAGAGCAAGAAACACAAGAAGCGATCCTTGCCTGATATCAAATCTATGGTAAGGTCAAACGGAATCGTCATTCAGTATTCAGTGTGAGCTGTAGCAAGGCTCGCACTCTTCCTCGTCGAGCGAGAACTCCGAGGAGAGTGCCGAGGAGGGGATGCTGGAGCTGCAGTCGATATATGGGCTGCCCAACAAGGAGTACCAGCGGAATCCGAGGCAGGCTCGTGCAGAGGATCTTACGGCGAAGCAGATTGCGGTGGCGATCACCAATATCACTTCTGTTGTGACCTCGAATGACATCATGGACATGGGCGGCGACGCCGCCTCTAGTCTAGGTTACTAATGCATCTGCATGTGTAGTTTCCGAGGCTCAGTCCAATGGGTGAGGGATTCCTTGCATTGCTTCCGGTCGGCGGCTTCTGCTAATTGAACTCAAGTGGAATCAGTGACTGCATGTCGTATTTCATGATTCATGCCATTCGGCAAACTCCTCTCAGGAATCCTTGCTCATGCAGAACAGCAATCGGTTCAAGAAGTTGAAGAACAAGGAGGGCGAACCCGAGGCAATCAACCAGGACTGCAGAGACACAGACAGATGCTGTCGTTCATTCAATATGCCTCAATCCTTCTTAGATTCTTTGTTGCCCTGATACATCCTGAAGGCAAGAGCAGCCAGCATGAGATGGAAGAAGCGGCTCGGGAAGCTGACGCAGGTGAGCTGCTTGGCTGCAGCTCCATGCAGAACCTCCTCTGCACACTTGTGTGAGAGCACTCATGCAGCCTGTTTTGAGCCTCGACAAACTCAGTCTGTGGAAAGACCCTATCGACCATCAACATCATGAACGCGAAGACTATGGAGGATGTTGCGATTTTGCTTCGCAGCATGTATAACAGTCACAGGAAGCTTCCCGGCTAAATGCTTAAGTTGTTTGTCATCTGTTGCTTCCGACGCTTTGCCGCCGAGTGATCTGCTTCCGTGACTCAGGAAGACCAAGATGTCCAAGGAAGAGCTGAACCAGAAGATCGAAACCGAGATGACGCAGCTCAAGCAGGAGACCCGCTCGTAATGCTTCTTTGCCATGTTGGTTCCTGATTTGATTGATTTGAGTGCAGTCACTTCCATGTCACTGTG